AGGGATACAGGCATTTGTGTGGGTTTAGATGTCAGGTATTGCTTCTGTCAATAGAAAAAGGTTCTTCTATTATCCTAAATAGTGAGCTTGAGTGCATATTTTTCTGGACTGAATACTTTTCTTATGATGTTCCAGGAAGCTTTAAACATCTATCAAAAGCTCTCATTAAAGCAGTACAATACAGGTTGGGTTCTTTCCCAGGTGATTGAGTTGTACCCTGAGTTGTCTGTTTTCTGAATCTGTAGTGAGTCTTTCTGCTGGCTTGGGAAAGAAAGCAATTAATTTAATTCTTCTCTACCAATGAGCTTAAAAAGCTTGAAATTTTAAAACCTCTTCTGTATCTAGAACAGTGAATTGTTTACCAATCCTATGTTCTCATCAGTAGGGAGTTCAGTTCCTACAGAATGAGAATGGAGAAAACAGAAAAATGCTGGTTTCTTGCTGTATGCTACCATCCTTTTCACTTAGAATTGGGATTATCTCATTTCAAATGGTATATTAAAACTGCTTGAGGAAACAATTGTTCATAAGTGGCCCTGCCCTTTGTTAATTATGTAAGTCTTAGAAGATTTAGAAAGAAAAGTCATAGATTTAAGTAAGAATTTTTTGTTCACCCCTTTCAGAGTATAAAGGTTTTGAGAGAATGAGGTATCTGTTAATGCAGGTTGGGAAAGCATATTTTGAGCTTGTAGATTACTTAAATGCTGATTATGCCTTTAGTCTTGCACGCCAAATATCTCCTTACCATCTGGAAGGGATGGATGTATACTCCACAGTTCTTTATGTGAGTTATCTTTGCCCTTGTCATAGATTTGGGATAGGTAGTTCATTGATAGCCACTTCACCACATATATTCATGTTCTCATTTTTTCAAGTTATGTGCAATTTGAAATCCTTGAGGTGTTGCCTCCTACTCTAATAAGAAACTGCTCATGTTGCATACATAATATTCCATTCTGTTTTTGCTAAGTTTTTGTTTTCGAAGTGCTGAGTCAAGTTTTGTGTAATCTTTAATTCTGGCAATTTTCTTGTCTCTTGGTTAAGATTTTTTCATTAGTAGACCATTATTCCCTCTACAGCATTTAATGCTTGATAGCTTTACTAGTGATGGCAACTCAAGTGGATGTTGCTATGCTATTATTCTTCATTATTATAGTGTGACTTAAGTTGTTCTATAAACTGCCATTATATGGAAAAGCTTTGGAAAGTATTGAATGCATAAGCACAAGATAAAACCTGGTTATTTTTGGTCCTGTTGACCACAGTTTGCCCACACAATTTCTTATAGATCCCAGAGTGTATATTTGGTACAATTTTAGGTATTTTCAAGTTGATTGTTGGAAACTAAGCTTTTCGTATCTGTTATTTTCTTACCATGAGGGAATAGCAAATCTGCAAAATTTTCTGAATCAAGGACTTTATTTGAAACCTTAAAGGGGGAGAAAGTTCCAAGGACCAAATTTTGGAGAGGGGAGACAATTTTATGGGATGTGATATGTGAAACCTTCAGTTTGCCTTTGATTTGATAGGAAATCTTTTGACAACAAAACCACTTCCTTACGGTTTGTTTCAACTTGATTTCATACCAAATATTGGACTTTTAGCTGTTTCTTTGCGGAAAACATCCATGTTTTCTAGGAAAGGAGGTTGTTGTTAAGTATGGCTATTGGATCAGAAAATTTTCCTTCCTTCCAAGCATAGTGTTATGCGCTCTGTTCATGGAGCAGAAAAATTAGATGATATGATGCTGTTATTTTGCTTTATATTTACCACTTTTTGCATTTTTTGTTTTTTTCGTTTTGTTACAGCATTTGAAGGAAGATATGAAATTGAAATACCTAGCTCAGGAGCTGATATCAGTTGACCGTTTTGCTCCACAATCCTGGTAACTTGGGTAGTCCTGTGTAGAATGAGGCTCTAAAACAGTTAAAACATGTTATTAAACTCCATGCATGTTTCAACTAAGCACTTTTCTGCTGTTTGTGTTCATAATTTACTCCCAATGCATTGAGGTTTGGCTTCTAGTGCCATCAGCATATAATAGCTATTTGCACTAATCTTTCCTGAAAAATAAACAAAAACTGTGCAAATATTTCTAATGACTCATTCTGACAATTGCAAGTTTGTAATCAGTTAACTATTTTTTGTTTATTGTTTTTTGGAATCCTTGTTATGGTATAGTTTTGCTTCCCTTTTGGGAAGGGTATCTGTTCTGTGTACCATGCTTTGTTTAGTTACAAGGGTAAAAATGAGGAAGGTGTTTCACTGAGTATTTCTTCCTCAGCAATCTCTTTTTTCTTTTTTAAATAAATAGTTTTTTGGGGGGGTGGGGGAGATGAGAAGGGGAGGTTTCTACTTGCAACAATAAAAAGGACAAAAGCTTTACCCATTATATTACAGAAATGTATATTGGGAGTGGATTGCATACATTCTTAAATTAAGCTGTATCAAAGTTTTTGTCATTCATGCTAGTTTTTGTTATGGAATGCCTATTGCAGGTGTGCTATTGGAAACTGCTACAGTCTGCAGAAGGATCATGAAACTGCACTCAAAAGTTTTCGGCGAGCTGTGCAGCTGAATTCTAGATTTGCATATGCTCACACTCTTTCTGGTCATGAGTATGATTTGGCATCTGAGACTTCTCCATTAATTAATGACTTTGAAGAAAAGAAAAAGGGGATTCCATCATCTAGTAATCTCTTTGCAGGCATGTTACTATGGAGGACTATAGAGATGGAGTGGAGTGCTACCAGAGAGCTCTCCGTGTAGATGCAAGACATTATAAGTCATGGTATGGTCTTGGGATGATATATCTTCGCCAAGAGAAATTTGAATTTGCTGTGCACCATTTTCGCCAAGCTTATCAGATTAATCCTCATTCTTCAGTTATCATGTACTATTTGGGAACCACTTTAGAAGCATTAAAGGTTTGGCCAATTATATGTTATCATTTCTACACCTAAATATGATTTTGTTTCTAACCTGACTCCTTGACCTAATCTGTTTTTGTATGATGAACTGTTATGCAATACTCAGCATATGCATCTTACAGATGTTTGACATGTTTAAATGTATGTCGATTACACAGGCTGCCCCTCTTGGTCTATCATGCTGCTGTGGTCATATGTGTTCTCTTTTGTGTAATTGGCTGTGGTTAAAACTTTTTTGCATCTTCTCCAAGAAGAGTTTTAAGTTCATCTACTTTTTACATTTTATAGTAAGAAACCAGATATAATTGCTAGGGGTGAGCATGGGTCGGTTTCGGTCGGTTTCGGGTCGGTTTTTCATCAAAACCGACCAAAAATTCTTGAGATATAACCGACCGAATTGCAGTGATATAAAGCCGGTTTCGGTCGGTTTTTTAGAAAGTCGGTTTCGGTCGGTTTCGGTC